ATCTTTCCTCTCAGAAGATAGGGGCGGGGTCAGCAGAGCTCATTAACATTTAAAGGAAAATGCTACAAAACGGCTTGCTCTGAAAAGAGCTGTTTTTGACAGGGTAAAAAAGGTGTTTTTTACACTACCATTGAGAAATTTTAACCAAACTATGTTACAGACTTTTTATTAAGACCCTGAAGAATCATATCAACTTGTGGAAAATGGGCATCGGATGACCCCTTTAATAGAAGTTATAGAAGCATCCTTACTTTACAGCATTTTTACACAAGTGCCACAAAAACTTTTCACAGTTCTATAGCTTTGCAGGAAGGTTTCTTAAAGCATCTTGGAGACGTTGCCACAGTTCTTCTGGATTTAGTCTGTCTCAATTTTTTCAGATTCTTTGTGTCATTCCAGACGGACTGGATGATGGTGAGATCAGATCTCTGTGTGGAGCTCTGACTGTTGTCAGTCTCCTTGTGCGCACAAAAATCTCACTGGATTATTACAATTAATGGCAAAATGAATGTTTGGAAATATAAACTGCTATGTCCTACTGACACATTACAGCAAAAGATAGAAATAACTGTCTTATCTGACTTATCCCAGGAAAGTATGATGCCTATTATTAAACAGAATTTCCTCCAAAAACAGCTCAGGAAATGTGAGTAAAAAGTGTGCAGATTCCGTGTGGGCCTAGTGATAACCTACACTTCCATCCTTCCTTAATGGGCATGACCTCGTTGTCACCTTGGTTACACTGGTTCTCTAGAATGCGAATTTCGTTGAAGTGTTGTATTAAAGTAATGATTGCCTCCTGCCGAGAAAAGGCCTTTATGATCTATTAATATTCAAGCTCTTACAGGTGGTTTGGCTGTAAAGCAAATATAAACATTCTCCTTCGTTACGCTTGAATGTGGATCAAATGAACCGTGAGCACCTTTTTCCTCCTCCCACCTACTTTTTCCCCCCTCCCTTCCTCAAAGCTCTCAATTTAATTGTGGATGTGGTTTCATAGCTAAGAGCGTTGAGTGCCTCTCCAAGCCAGCATGCCCACAGGAGCAGTGTACCATGTTTAAAGAGCATATCCTAGGTACCAACGTGCCTAGATAAACAGCATCCCTGGCCGCACGACGCTGTGAGATGTGCTCGCAAGCCCCCTCTGGAATCCACAGCAGTCATCCCTGCAACCCAGAGGAATGGAAACTGGAGACAGCATTACATCTGCCCGGCTTACCACGAGACACTGCACAGTTAGTTCACCAGGCCTCAATCTGCCACCCCGTCCTCGACTCCACACACACACACACACACACACAAACACAAGCCGCCTCCAGGTTGGGATCAAACAGCCCAGCTTTTAGAAGTTCTCACTTAGTCTGTAAAAGATTAACAAGTTATTGACTGAATTTTGACCCATGCCGGTCTCCTCCTCTTCTTAGTACTGTTATCTGATGGTTGGAGTGAGGGTGGCCTCTGGACTAAGTGAGTGTTGCTCGCTCCAGGCTTGAGTGGGCGGCTTTGATGTGAGATGTGCAACCCTGTGTGTGTGTGTGTGTGTTCCACAGCTTTCATAAACACCTCCACAAGTGCAGCATGACAGGAGAGGAGGCTATCCAATGGGCTCACAAAGGACCACAAACACGCACGCACGGTCGTGCTTTTACAACAAATGTGGGCAGCTACAAGGACAAAATGCTGTGATTGATGTGTTTATTTGTTCTTTTTTTTTTCTTGCATGAAGTTCGTGTCTGCGGTATTAGAGCGCACCGATTCCCAGCGTCCGCCCTTTAAAAGTTTATCCACATGTTTATAATTTGAGATTTCCTCTTTTTCAAAGGTCTTAGGCGAGTGTTGTTCATTTGAAAGGGATACTTTTGTTTCAGTCCTGCGACTTTGCCAAGTTGGAGGCCTCTGCTTGTCAGGCTGCTGAGATCATCGGAGTTGGTCGGCGAGAATGCCTAAGACACTTTTGAAATAAAACATGGCTATGAGGAGGTTTAGCAGATGTTTTGTGTTTAAAGACTTGTTAAGGGGAGAACAACAAAACAATGAATGCAAGTATGAAGAATCACTCTACAGCTAGCGAATGTCAGTTTGTTTGAGGTGCCTTTTAGCGAGAAACAGCCAAATCAGCTTGAAAGGATATTCTGGGGTGTATTTTGCAGTTCATATGAATGCAGTCCGTTCTAACTTGCAGAAGTAAATGCTTTTGATGATGTACGATTTCAAACGTTTTGAAATATAAATTAACAAACCCAATAAATCTTTATTAACATGTATTTTGAAATCGGATTTTAGGGTGTTTTCAGACCTGTAGGTCATTTGTTTTGTTCCAAAATGTGAACTTAAGTTGTTACAATGCTGCGTTTTCTTATTTGCTTTGTTTTCACAGGGCAACGTTTCAAAGTGCAGCAAAATTTGTTCAGTATTCAAAAAATGTAGTATATGTCGGGACACTATTCTTGCAATGCACCCGTTTTGGAGAAGAGCAATGACATTTTAAGCTGAAGAGCTTTGGTTTACTGCAATGACTAAAGCGCTCGCTCACCCACAGAATTAGACACTGCTGCTTTTTAAATATACTGCATTTCCTATTATGAATTATGATACAGCTTGATTCATTGGTCTTTTGAGTTGGTTGATTTCTCACCACAAGTGAACCACTTCAGAATTCGTTTTCAATCGTGCCGAGACCAACTTGTTCAGGCTATCCTGGACCGATTGTTTTGGTGAAGATCTGAGCACGATTGCAGTGTTCATATATTCTTCAAAGAACAGAAAGAAAACGTGCCAGAACATGTTGTTGTTTGTTATGCAAATGTAGAACGACAAAAGGGTGAGTAAATGATAACAATTTTTATTTTGGGTGAATTATCCCATTGTTCCTCCAAATATTTGATTACTGTAGGTATTATGTCATGTAGATGTGCGTTATTATTGTAGCTCGAGTACGCAAAACCCCCGTTTACTCACATAGTTTCTCGTTAAAAGTCATAAATTACTCGTTTGCCTTGAGGATGAGGTGTTATAAATAGGATGTGTCAAAAATTGCTTTAACATCTCAGGTTCCTGAAATTTTATGGCTGCTTACCAGCACAGAGAAGCTCTCTTTAATTTAGCTTCCCACAGGCCAACCAACTGACGCCTCTACGCGAGGCCCTGTGTTTCAACAAGGCCACAAAAGCCCCAGCACTCGGTTTCCATTCTCCACTGGCTTTTGGAGAACAGAGTGTACCATCAGCAAACTTGTGTCCCAACAAGCTGGCCAAGCCTCATCTGTCAAAGCCAGCGTGAGCGCGAGAGCGGCAGGGCGGCGGGGTGAGGTAGAGGAAGCTCCCAGATAAACATACCGCAGCGCCTAAACTCCTAATCACTCTGCGCTTCCGTTTGTAGCCTCTATAATTAGAAGGCACTCTCCATGTATTCCCAGTTGACGCAAATGCTTCTTGTGGCTTGGCACCTCATTTGGGGCGTGGGTTAGTTTATGGCCAGGCCGTAACTTGGTTTAGTCTTCTGATACAGCATAAATAGCTAACCGCTGTCTAATTCACTAGCCGACTCTGTTTTTTTTTTTCGTAGGCGAAATCTCAGCGTGACCCTTCCTTCGCTGCCGCAGCCCATCCCCTTTGCTTCCTGTCTTACTGCTCAATGAGATGGCAAAGCCACACCTAAAGCAGATGCTATTCATAAGTGTGAAAACGAAAATAACGTGGGCAGAAATAGGACAGATGAGCTCATCTAGCACGGCTGCTATTCCATTGTCATGTGTGCGGGAGTTCGTCTGATCTTCCAATAATAAACTCATTTTTAGTTTGTCAGACCACCCAATAAATGCTCGCCACAAATTAAACCCCTCTGTGAACTCGGCATTAGAGATTCAGCATTGGAAAATCACTAATTATTGTCATCTTAAATTACAACAGTGAGATCGAGAGCCAGCGGCTAAATCCATCTTAATCGTAGTGTTGGAGAAACTTTCCAAAGCGGTAGTGACCAGACTTTCATGTGTGTGGAAAATAGCCTGTAGAGCTGTCACACTGTTTTTAGAAACCAGTTGTATGCGGGGTTGCGTTGCCATGAAGATTTGCTTCGGGTTTTTTTCTAGTGTGGTTTAGTAAGTGTGTTGTTTACAGTAAGAGCTTATACTTTCTGTAGTTTCACTAACTTCAAATAAAAGTGGGAAAATGAGAGGCCCTGTCATCAGAGGTTCCACTTGGGTTCTCCTGCGGTTGTATTTAAAACAGATCCACATATTCTCTGGCCCGGACAGCTGAGGGAAGATCTTGGCATGCAGTTAATTCTAGAACACAAATTGCAGTGGAACACAATTGCCCTTTACAACCATGTAAACGTGTCTCATGAAATGCTCAGTACTTGATGGCATTCTGGGTGCCGTCGTTTTTGACTTGCAGTATGTTCTGCTCAGTTTAAGCTCAGAGTTGGTGCACTTAAAGCAAGTAAATGTTCAAATGCAATTTATATATGTTTAGAGTGGCCATTCCTGCCACTTTCATTGATAGATGAACGTGGACTAATCACTAGGCCACAATTCAGAAAGACTGAATCACTGGTCCCCAAATCCAAATAGTAAACCCCAAGAAAATTTAGCTCTAGGGCTGGGAAAATCCTAAAAACTTAAAAAGCATGGAGGATTTAATTTCTGTAGCCTCAGGAAGTGGGCAAAAAAATGCTGTATTGATTGCTTTTCCATATTAATCACAGAATTTAGTGCAAAGAAAAGCATTTTTTGCAGTGCACTTTCTATATCTAGTGTTATATATTTCATCTTACTGCTCCAAAAATTTAGATTTTTTATGTTCTAATGTTATCAGTGTAATAATTATTTAATCTCAGAAAACATTGTGATAAATTAGTTGTCACTTTTTTTAAATAGTTTTGTTGCTCAAAATTAAACACATCCTGTGTCACCAATGATCTGGGAAATAGTTTTTTGTTTGGTAGTGCTAAGAAGGTGCACTATGGTGAAATAAATGATGCTCTTTTCTGATCTACAGGTATGTTACTAGTGACTGCAGACACCCTTGGCCACGACTTCCACGTTTTCCAAATCTTGACTCACCCATGGGCGTCTTCCCAGAGTGCAGTTCATCATCTATACACACTTCATAGAGGAGAGACTGAGGCTAAGGTAATTATAATAATAATAATTCCTTACATTTATATAGCGTTTTTCTGGGCACTCAAAGCGCTTTACATAGAAGGGGGGAATCTCCTCAACCACCAGAACATATAAGAAGGTAAGAACATATGTGTATGCACACATTTACATAAAAGCTTTCAGCACTGTCCTTTAGCACGCACATATGGTACAAACTCATAAACTTGTATCCTCCAAAAGGAAGATGTATCAACGACAAAAAGAAGTCTTGCGTTCAAGTAATACATGGACAGTGTGGGATATTAATTCAAACTTCAAAGCTTCCCGTTCCATCCCTTGCTCACACGCACATGCCTATGTACACTCAGGCTATTTTCGGGGGAGTTATTGAGATGAAATATTGCCTTTCCGGACTCTTTTAATCATTAGCATAATCATTTAAAGTCTTTGTGGGCCACCCACGACTGTTTACGGTTGCCTGTGCTTGTATGGCTCTGGAAATGTGCAATTTGAACATGTTTTTCATCGTCAGTGAATCCCTGCATGTTATCTAAATAATGTCAGGAGACATAAGGCCACTGAGCTCCAGAAGAACACGGTACTGCTCTCTCGGCTTCTTTGTAGTATGTAGGGCAGTGTATGTTAGACAAAAAGTGTGGGTATGACCCATCTGATTGATCTTAAACATGACTATGAGATACATAACCCCTTGCTACTGTGGAATATGAATTGAATTGAATACTTTGTCATTGTACAATGTATGTACAACGAAATTCAAAGTGCAAGTGTATGTGAGTGTAAATTGTGTCACAGTTCAAAATGTTTTTTTTAATTTATTTATTTATTTTTACGTGTAGTCAGAGTCACAGCAACATGAATATTTTTGTACCTGGAGAAATTTTGCCCCCAGTACAAAACAAAATTATGTGGATCTATGTGAATATTTGTGCTCTCAGCAGTTAGTCTTTGCTTATTCAAAAACTTCCTCCCCTGTGGCTCCCATGTTCAGTTTTCAACACTCTGGAATCCGAAGACCCGAAACTATTAGTGTTGACTATGTTTTCAATCACCTAGGCTGCAAAAAAAGAGAAAAGTTGCTAAAAATACCTCAGACGGCTGGTGAGAGCTTAGATTGTGCTTCTGACTGGAGCTTTTACTCTTGCACCTTGGGGTCAAGATTGGGGCTTGTAACACCTATGATATCTTAGGCTATGAGGTCATGGACTAGAGGACATTCCCACTGGGATAATATGGTCGCGCTTGCGACTTTACACCACTCTCTCTTAAATCCCTGGAAATAGACTGTTGGCAGCACTGAATATAGGCTCCGTAATTTTCCCATTTCATCCCAGCTTTATAAATTACAAATCCAGAACAACTAATGGTGTTATTTGAAACAGAATTGGTCTTTGGATTTTGTCCAGTTAGCCAGATGTTTGTTGCATTTTAGTCCCACTTTAGTGTAGTAAGACATAGTTTATAATTTACAACTAGAACACAGTTACTGCTTTACTGCTGTGAAAAAGACCTGTTGTATTACCTGGCAGGTTCGATTGCTTGGACAAGAACAGCAACATATCTATTCTAGTCACATGATTTAAAGGCCCAAATTTAATTTAATTTAAATATAATTTATTTATTAAATTTTTTCACTTCAATAGATATTCTATTTTTAATTATTTTTTTAAATGTTATTTACCGTTTTATTAGTTTTTTTTAAATATTTTTATTTTATTTTGTTATTATTTTATTTTAATTTCCACTTTGTAATAGTTATTCTTTTTAATTTATTTTAATTTTACTAGTTGAATACTATTATTATTTTTTTACTTTTTACTTAAAGTCCCCATGAAATCAAAATGAAAGTTTTTTGGGTGTGTAATGATTTTTACTCATTGTATAAGGGAATTAATTATTATTATTTCATTCAGGTTTTGAGCCAACACAGTGACAAAATTCGCATTTAGAAGATAGAAGCATTGAAAGCTTGCAGTTCGTCACTTCGCCAAAACGGCTCAACGATTTTTTTGACGTCACATCGTACTTCAGCTTCTCATCAAACTTTCTGTCCAATCAAATGCTCTCTAGAATCCGAAGCGCCCGCCCCCTACACTATAAAATAGACTCTGAAGCCGTGGCTGAAATCGGTCACTTGTCCACAGAATAGGTATTTTCTGTACAGTGAATGGCACGTAGTGCACTATATAGGGGACAGGGAACGATTCAAACAGTGTAAATATGCTTTCCATTGAGGAAAAAAAGAAGTCTGGTTTCACGCTGAGTCACGCTAACCACCGCACCGCACACACACTCTGCTCCGGTCCAGAGACACGATAGCACGGAGCGGATCACATGCGCGAGTCGGCGCAGACCACAAAATGTATCGGAGCTATTTTAATTCTACACAGAATGCTATATTTTATAGCAATGTGGATGAGATTGTGGCTGGCATACCCTGCGGCTTTACGGAGCTCAACGGCTCTGAACGGCTCTAGCCCAAGCTGTGATATAAATGAACGCTATTGGCTATTTTAAAAGGGCGGGGCTGCTTGATATGTCCCGCCCTGTCTTCCTGTTTCAGTTAAAATGACGTCAACACATAGAGTAACGCTGCGTGTTTCTAAGCATTTCAGGGGACCTTTAAGGCAGTGTATAGTGGTCTCAAAACATATTTGATCAAATATATTGATCATTCTTCTATCCATTTTATTTATTTATTTATTTATTTATTTATTTATGTTAGTATTTTAGAGGATGGGTCAAATCCACATGCTTTTTTTGTATTTTATGTAACGTTACTCAGGTTGAATAGTTGAAGCGGACATCTAAGGACATGATCAGATCATTAGTGTCTGCCAAGCCTTGGTAATCTATCTGGGTGCTTTAAAGTTTAATTTACTTTTGCGATCTATTGGGTTATTGCACAAATCATTTTGGGAAATAACTGCAGTGATTTAGTTTTCCTCTCTCCTAAATGCTGTTTCATCCATTTAGCCTTGCAGCTGTTCCACCACAATATCTCCTTCAGTTGGCAAATTGTAAGGTTTTATTTGCTTAAGTAGAACTAATATTTATTCCGAAAGGGCCTAGACCCTTACTTACTCAGCCAGTGTCATGTTTGGATATGCACACAAACCTGATCTCTGCTCTAGTTCATAGACACACACTCGCAGTCACACTGACACATTCGATGTCTAAAAGCATGCCAGACATATTTCCCCCAATTTAAATCCTTACTACATGATAAATATTAACACTGCAGTGGAATAAAAACTGTTTCACCGTATGTTATTTGCCTAGGAGTGCCATGTAACTGTAGCACAGTCAAGTGTTATGTCTAAACTTCTAAAAGAAAGACTTGCCATTTTTAATTCCTATTGCACTTATATTGGATATAGAAAATAATCCCCCCCCCCCCTTTAAAATAATCACATTTTGTTGCTTTGCAGCCTGAAATGAAGACGGACAGTTTTTGTTTTATCCAGCTGTATTTATTAAGCCCATTAGAGTATATTTAGAGTTTTTTTTTCTTTTCTTCTTCTTCTTTTTTTATGTTTTCACAATTTGCTTTGTCCCTTTACCCTTCAAGTGCACTCTGAGGTGGGTGAAAAAGGTTGAATTGCAGGCTGGGTACTGGCCCGTGGGTGAAGTTCAAGTTCTTCTCGTTCCTGCTCCTTATATTGAAGCTGTGATTACCTTACCCGACACCTCCAGGCATGCCAGAGAGATGGAACCAAGCGTGTAAAACATTCTCATTTTCCCTCCTCTGTGAGCACAGGGCCGAGGAGGCCTGCAGCTCTGCCGAGATGAGAAAGGTGGTTAATCTGTCACCGGCTCATGCCAGGTTTGCTGCCTGGCCATGCATTGGCTTTGATCTGGCATTGTAAACAACGCAAACTGCAGAAAGCAAGCACCCTCCAAGACGCATTATCTTGAGCAGAACAAATAAAAGGAGTGATAATGCCTCGTGGGCGGACGCAGGCACCCGGCCTTATCTGGCTGGCTAATTGACTGTGCTTGTACTGACTCCCAGCCTGCTCCGGGCTGACCTTAGTGTGCATGAAGGTAAATAACCCATCAGGCTGCGTTGCCTGAAGCCATACACCGTTTTAGCTGTTCTGAGCAGCATATGACTGACCAAACAGCTCATTTGATTTGTGTCTGATTAACTAATTTAAAGATCTCAGTCCTTGTCTTTGGTCACCTAAATCTTATTTTTATACCTCCAGTTGAGGTATCGTCCCTGAACAGGTAATGGTCATTGATCTTGATTAATTTGCTCATCTCTGGGTTGCTGTATTCAGCATGAGACTGATTTGAGACAGATAGAGCAGAATGACCTAGAATCAGACAGATCTCCAGACAGCTGTATTCCAGTAGCTGATGGCTATCCATAAAAAGTGCTGTAAAAAAGCCATTAGCTGAACCTTGCTGATGGCAGAGTGCTGTATGGTAAAGCCAAGTGTAAGATTTCTGGACCATGTCTTGGGAGGAAGGTTTGCCATCAATTCATAGAGCTAAATTTATTCACACAGGGTGCGTTCTTGTGTTCAAAAACAGCTAGAATAGGATTTCAAGACGCTGTCTTATAAAACTATGCTCTTGACGCAAGATGCTGAAAAAACAGGGTGGGATTCAACAGCCATCTGACACATGTATACATAGACCAACAATTTAAAAATAGCGTAGACTGAATATACTGTAGGAGTGGTAAACACAAGAAGCACGGGACGAACTGTTGCAGTTTCATGGTTCGTCTGTTTTTAGATGTTTAATAAATACAAAATCCAGGTTAGATATTCAGGTTTTTCGTGCCAGTAACCAAGATCTGGTGATCGGTTCCGAAACCTCTTCATCCCAGCACCTAGGTGTGACTACCAACACTTCTTTCTCATTCCTTTCAAGCTTTTCACAGCACATTTTTTAGAGATGTTATCTGTCTTTGCCAGAAACTCTTTATGAAAACAATCTTTCTTATGACTAACACCAGAGAAAATTCCAACAGAAGTCAGGTTGCATTCCTTAAAGTTGACATGAAAAAAAACCCCCAAAAAACTGATCTTATTTTGAATGATTCATCCATGCATATGTTTCATTTTAATATATGTATTTTTTCTGACCTAGTAATTTTTAAATTAAAATATAACTGGTGATGTGTGCCAGACTTCTCCAATATTTTTGTAAAATATTTTTTCGATAATCTGTTTAACTTGAATTTTTATCCCAATACATAAGAAGATCTGCTACCTCTGTTACATTGTGACTTTAAGCCAAATTTTGAAGGAAAGGCATTGCTGTATTGTTCATACTGTTCACTCAAGACCCTAAACTTAAAAAAACTTTCTGTAATGTTGATTTCATACATTTTATTGATGATCGTTCATTTCCGAATCCTAACCAACTCAAATCTCAAAGCTGGTTGTGAGCTTCTTTCCTTTCTCTTCTCTTACCACTCTAGGTGCAGGACATCTGCTTCAGCCATGACTGCCGCTGGGTGGTGATTAGTACTCTTCGAGGTACATCTCATGTCTTTCCCATCAATCCGTACGGTGGAGCACCATGTGCACGCACACACGTGTCTCCACGTGTGGTGAATCGCATGAGCCGTTTCCAGAAGAGTGCCGGACTAGAGGAGATTGAGCAAGAACTGAGCAGCAAACAGGGCGGCCGATGTAGCCCTATTCCTGGCCTTTCTAGTAGCCCATCTGGATCACCACTACATGGTTAGCAAATACCTTTTTGTTTTTTGGAAATATTATGCACCTCTTGCACGTCTGCAATCCTTCATAAGTTAGTAACACTAGTTCTTCTGGTCCAAAACGGTAAAATTATCAATTTTTAATTACCCTGAACTATATTGTTTGGTAACATATTGAATTAAATAGAAATGTCAGTATTTAATTATTTACATTTCTCGTGTATTTACATTTCTTGTCCACCATCTTGAATTAATTTTCACTGAGCTCATAGGAAGCTTACTAGAATTTGAAACTGAGCAAGTAGATCCTGGCCATTCAGGGGTTAATCGAATCACCCTAGAAGACCTTGGGATTGAGCCTGTTGACCTCTGTCATAACACTGTGATGTTTGTCAAACACTGTCTCTGGCTGCAAACACACTCACACTTGACCACGTCTGACCGTTACGTACATACACACCCACCCACCCACCCGCACACACACTTCTCATCTCTGTGCTGATTGCCACAGGAGCTGGCACGCCTGTCAGTGTTGTTTGCCTATCAGCACTCCCCACTCCACAAAGCAGAGGTCTGATTAATCAATACCCCCGTGCTCGCCGAAAGCACCCCGCTGATACGGACACAGTAGACTCCAGTCAGCTGCGGGGTGTTTGCAGAGCTTCCCAAAGGGTTCAAGAGAGCCTCTCTTACTCTGTTGCCCAAAGTCATATATCAAATGACACCATATTGACACTTCAAAAAATAGTTTACTGAATTACTTAAAATAAATATAAATCAGCAAATGTAAACAATATTTATTTATTTAGCAAATAAAAATCGGTAACACTTTAGAATAGGGAACACATATTCACTAACTAAGAGTTTTCCCTGAACAAACTCCTAATATGCTGCTTATAAATAGTCAGTATTGGTTAAGTTTAGGTATGGGGTATATTAAGGGATCTAAAATACGGTCATGCAGAATAAGGCATTAATATGTGCTTTATAAGTACTAATAAAAAGCCAATATGCTAGTAATATGCATGCTAATAAGCATCTAATAGCGAGAATTGGTTCTTAAAATAAAGTGTTACCTAAAAATCTAATTAAAATCAAAATAATCTGGCTATTGCATTGCGTCTTGCTGATTTTCAGCATCACCACATTTTTCAAGTTAAAATTTAAACTTTATGGACTATATAAATATAATTTAACATCCATCCATCCATCCATCCATCCATCGCATTTTTCTGATTTATAGTACGCCACATTTTTAAAGTTAAAATGTAAACTTTGTGACCTATATATTTATATATTATAATCGTAATTAATTTGAGTGACTTTTGACTGTCTCAAAGAAAATATGAAAAACTTTTTTCACTTTGAATCGAGCAACGCTGTGACATCACAGGGCCGGAATGTTTGGCGTCCCGTGTAGGGATGGTTACTAGCAGCCGTGAAAGTGGGCCTCAGAAGCCCTGCTGTAAATCAGACTCATTTTTCAAAGCCGGGCATTAGAAGCACCTGTCAACAATTAGTCCTGTCAGCTTCAGCCCGATGAGACACTTTGACAACAGGGTTCTGAGGTGACATTTTTTTGTACTGGGAACAGGATGGGGGAATCTAAGAAACAGAAGTCTGAGGCCGTTCTTATGCCTTAGAGGCAAACCTTGGACTGTCCGGATTTTATAACCTCAAGGATCATTCCATAATTCCTTAAGCCAAAAGATGGGAGGATAGCAGGATGTGGCTTTTGAATTAAGATGAAACGGTGTGGAGAAGAAAGGGAGACAAAATGGTCCCGCACTTTTCCATGGTCCCTGTGGGCCTCTCCTATGGGCTCATACGTGCAGCTGGAATGCTTGAGCCACTCACATATCCTGTCGAGATGTTTGCTTTATTTTCAAACCAGTCATTCAGTTTTTCTTTTTTGTTCTCTTAATGTTTTTTTTTTAATATTTCAGTGTATTAAAAATTACACTTTGATCTTCTTCACACTTTTAACATTCCGAAGATTTGATAATAAAAGTTTTGTTTTGCTAATGACACATTTGTTTAATGAACTGAATTGCAGTGAAATTTTTTTTTAATTTTTTTTATTAATTGCAGTTTCATACATTTGCAATTGACTGCATTTATTTGATCAAAACTACAGTAAAAACTGTAATATTGTGGAATGTTATTACAATTTAAAACAACTGTTTCTATTTTAACGTATTTTAAAATTGTATTTATTCCTGTGATGGTAAAGCTGAATTTTCATCAGTCATTACTCCAGTCTTCAGTGTCACATAAAGCTTCATAAATAATTATAATATGCTGATTTGGTGCTCAAGAAACATTTATTATTGTTATCAATGTTGAAAACAGTTGTGCTGCTTAATATTTTTGTGTAAAGCATGAAGCAGAATATTTTTTTTATTTTATGAATAGAAAGTTCAAAAGAATAGCATTTATTTAAAATAGTAATCTTTTGTAATTCAAGTGTTAACTGTCACCTTTGATTAATGATTCTTTGCTGAATAAAAGTATTTTAAAAAGTAAATAAAAGTTAATTTTGGCTAAAAAAAACTTCTGTACTTGTTGATTTGCTATACAATGTAGTGACAACAGGATTTCTACAAAAAAACAACAACAACAAAAAACAACAACAATCACTGCGTTTTACGTCATCGTAAAATCAGCAAAATTGTTTTTGTGGTTGTCACACTTTTACATCCTTTTCCGCTATGATTAGTTATCAGACACAAAAAGAGAAAAAGCTATCAGCGTCACTTTCCGTTTGCTTTTTCGTCGGTTTTGTTCATTTTTGGGTCCATAAGCGTGAACGGAGGCGGCAGAAATAACTGCTTGATAAGAAAAGCTGCGGCGCAGTAGCCACAACAGTAGACTGGCAATTGTCTCCTGTGACAACTCATTGATTTAGGGAAGGAACTAGAGAAGTACACATCCTTCAGAGCTGGCACTCTGTAAAAATAGAAACCACAATCGGGCTTTCTTCTCCCCCAGTTTAATTGTGGAGTTTTTTCAATCTATTTTAGGAGCCACATCCCCCTCGCCTTAGGTTCATGGCATTGTTAGATAATTCAACAAGTCCTTCTTTGTCAGTGCTAACAGACAGTTAATTCATTAGTTTAGGTGCTGGTTTCTGCTAAGTTGTTTTGTCTGTTTGTCTTTTCTACCTATAACTGAACAAATGCCAAAGGAAAATGCGGTAACACTTTCTATGAAGCCCGTATTTATGGGCATGTTAGAACAAGCCGTTTTAGGGGGGCGTGGCAGAGTCTTAACTTTGATAAAGAATATCTCTTTGGTTTTGAGACTTTAGTCTTTGCAACTTCAGGGATCTTATCTATGCACAAGCAGCTTGTAACACTCCAAAGAGAAAGGAAAACTTGAAATCGCATCATATGACCTCTTTAAGAATACCCTTATAATGTATTATAAATACGGGCTTCATAGAAAGTGTTACCGAAAATGCTTTTTGAAGCATAACTGTTGTTGTATGGTTTCCATTCACGGGAATGTTTAGGGCACATGTGGCTTTGGTAGCCATGCTGTGCAGCGGTTAAGCTCTGTGTCGGCCATGCGCGAGGATGTGAGGAGTGTGATGGAAAGAGCTGTCTGGACTGAGGTGGTCACCATTACCTTTGCGCTTACAGGAAGTTCAGTGTCGGTTTGACACAACTTGGTGGTCTCCTTCTTTGTATATGTTCATTGACTATTTTGAAAGGAAAAACAAGGTGCAACAGGAAGCTGTTAATTTGCTGTTATTAAGTTAGAGATAACGGGATACTTCCTTTGAGCCATTTAATGTCAGCATACGACTTGTTTGGGTTTCAGGCTTGTTTTATCAGTAACTACGCCTGTTTACACCATTCATCATCTTAAAGCAAAAACAGGCAGACATGGATGCTTTTGCAAAACCGATGACACAATGTTGTTTGGAGCAAACTGTTTTAAAAAGCCCAACACTGTGGTTATTAAGTCACAGATCAAATCTAAATGGCATTCATTTAACTCTTGAAATTAATGTTATTTTTTCACACACATTTTATACGTTTTTTTTTTTCGGCAAGGCTGCATTAAATTGATCAAAAGTGACAGTGAAGACATTTATAATGTTTCAAAAATTTCCATTTCAAATAAATGCTGTTCTTTTGAACTTTACTTTCATCAAGGAATCATAGAAAAAAATGTATCACTGTTTCCACAAAAATATTAAGCATATAAGGGATATTAAAATGATTTCTGAAGGATCATGTGGCACTGAAGACTGGCGTAATAATGGCTGCTGAAAATTCAGTTTTGCCATGACCAGAATAAAATACGTTTTAAAATGTATTAAAATACAAAACAGTTACTTTAAATTAGGGTTGCGAAGGGGTGGAACATTTCCAGTAAATTTCCGGAAACTTTCCAAAAATCCCTGGAATATTCCAAAAAAAAAAAAAATCCTGGAATATTTCCTAAATTTACTGGAAATTTTCCAACTTTTTGCAATCCTACTTTAAATTGCAATAATATTTCCACAATATTACTGTTTTACTGAACTTTTGAATACATACAGTATGAATTTTTCAAAAAAAGAAATGCACCCTTGGTGAAAATAAGAGACTGTAAAAAAAATATTTACAGACCTATAATATTTACAGTTTTGCATTGAAAAAAAATTATTAAATTATCTAACTTTTCCACTCAAATGTTATAATATAATTTGCAGTAAAAGATAGTTTTCCACTAGTGGTCTCAGACTTTTGGAGAATGTACAAAAACCGTCAAGGGGGGGAGATTTTGAGAGGAAACTTTTACAAAGGGAATGCTTTTGGATTTATACTCTAAATACGTTATCACCTTTTGGGTTGAATGAAGATTTTGATATTAAGCCTTTTCTATAGTATTGTATGTATTTTTTCATCTGTCTTCAGTATTGTTTTAATATTTTGTGATTATTGATCTGTATTGATTTGTTAGTTTATTCGAGTTTATGATTTGTATTTGACCTGTATTGATTTGTATATTTATTTGAGTTTAATGCGTTTT